CTCGACACGGCGAAAGTGCACGCTGCTGTGGCTTGTCTCGAAGTGATTTCTCGCTATAACTATTACTACTAAAAAAAATCTATTGTTGACGATTCTGAATAGCAGTAATATTTAGATTTTTATACGCCCACATTTTCATGTGGACGTATTATGCCGTCGCCCCTGTCCGTCCGTCCACAATTGTTTGTGGACTCCCTACAGGTCACAATTCTTATCCGATTTTGACGAAACTTGAAATATAGGTTTATCCCCAAAAGATCTCGGCTGCTTTCGATATTGGCATGTATCGGATCGAAACTTCATGGATTATGGCCCCTAAAATCACGTTTTTAGCTTGTGGACCCTATAGAGGTCACAAGTGCGAAAGTGCACGCTGCTGTGGCTTGTCTCGAAGTGATTTCTCGCTATAACTATTACTACTAAAAAAAATCTATTGTTGACGATTCTGAATAGCAGTAATATTTAGATTTTTATACGCCCACATTTTCATGTGGACGTATTATGCCGTCGCCCCTGTCCGTCCGTCCACAATTGTTTGTGGACTCCCTACAGGTCACAATTCTTATCCGATTTTGACGAAACTTGAAATATAGGTTTATCCCCAAAAGATCTCGGCTGCTTTCGATATTGGCATGTATCGGATCGAAACTTCATGGATTATGGCCCCTAAAATCACGTTTTTAGCTTGTGGACCCTATAGAGGTCACAATTTTTATCCGATTTTGTTGAAACTTGAAATGTAAGTTTATAACCCAAAGATCTCGGTTCCTTTCTATATTCGCGCATATCGGACTGTAACTTCCTGAATTATGGCCCCTGATTGTACGAAAAATCGCGTTTTTAGCTTGTGGACCCTATAGAAGTCATAATTTTTATCCAATTTAAAAAAAAACGTATTATTATATCACCGTTACACCCTAAGGACGGCTGAGTTCGAATTTCGTGAAAATCGGCCCAAAACTGACAGACAAAATGGCCGCCCTTCGTTCTCAAATAGCGTAAAAAAATATGGTATATCAAGGCTTTGGACTTTATGGAGGTCACAATTTTAATCCGATTTTGTTGAAACTTGAAATGTAAGTTTATAACACAAAGATCTGGGTTCCTTTCGATATTTGCGCATATCGAATTGTAATTTCCTGAATTATGGCCCTTATTGATTGTAGCAAAAATCACTTTGTTTTTAGCTTGTTCTCTATCCATCTCTCGAAAATGTGGGCGTATCCTGCCTGGCAGCCGCTGGTTGGTTATTACAGCAGCTTTAGAAATTACTTTCATTTTAAATTGCTTTATCATTAACTGTACTGTTAGGGGCGGCATCTTTTGGTTTAGTACAAATAATATCTCTGAAACACTTGCGTTAGGCAAGAACTAGTTTTAGTTAGCAATAATAATATATTATTGATGTTAACAACAATGAATCGGAGGCATATAAACAACAGATTACAACAAGGTTTGTGGCCTGAAACATTCTTAGAGAAGTCGCCTCCCTTATCAATTAAACAAATGAAATGAGGTTTACCATTCAACTGTTCTGCACAGACTGGCTTAATGCATGTATATGTGCTACAGTGTGCTATGAGGGAAACTTTGCCTGGATACTTGCACTACAACCTACTTTAATTTCAAATTCCAACTGCTATAAGGGTTATTTTACGGACATGCCAATGTGTACACAGGACCTTGATTTTTAGTCCCATCCGAACAACTATACTCAGGGGAGTACATAACGAGTTTGTTTGGGGGGGGGGGGGGTGTTTAGCCAAAATGCGACCGACTGATGCCCATACCCCTAGTACGAGCGACGCAGTCAGGAGCCGAGCACCACAGGTGCGAGTTTTGTAGGGGCCATGTGCAGTAGCGGATCTAGATAGGGGGGGGGGGGGGTCCAAATCTAGGGCGCCTCCCCAGCCACAATCCCACCCTACAATGAATTCAACAAAATACTGGCTATAACATGAAGCGTCCCGGTAGAACATAGATGGTATTGTATAATTATATAGTTGTTTGCCGATCGTTGTCTCGCTGGAAAGCAGTTTTATTTAAGTTGACATAAAGTTTATGTCATATATGATTGTGTCTATAACACTGAGCAGCCTGAGAAAATTTTGAAAAATTGAGTCAATATCTTGGCATTTGAGGTCATTGCTGGGAGAAATTCTTGTGGACGAGAGGACCAGAAATGTGAGTCAATTAGACAAAATCTCGAGATCTGCCCCTGTCAATTCCTCCTGTTTTGCAAGAGTTGACAGAACTTTTGTATATTCTGACGCCCCACGACCCACACACCAGTGCCAGTGGTACTACTAACATAACTAGGCAGTTCAGTATAACCGTGAATACGATAGTGCTGAGCCAGTATAAGACAACAGAGGAGTGGAAGAATGATGTTATAATGGAATGTGTAACCGAGCTTTTAATTTTTGGGACTGGGCCTGACAATTTTAGTCAATGTCATGGCAAATGGATCCAAATTCTCGTTAACGGGAGGATAAGAAATGAGACAGAATATTGAGGCCTATCTGTCAATGTCGACTGTTTTGTGAGAGTAGAACTAACAATTCTACAGCCTTTTGACCCACGACTCACTCACTAGTGGTACAACTAACTGGGCGATTCACTGCAACTGTGAATATTATAGTGATGAGATAGTATAAGACAGAGAAGGAGTTGAAGAATGATGGCATAATGGAATTGAGCGCCGATATGTAACTGAGCTTTTAATTTTTGAGGACTGGGCCTGAGGGCACTTTACCTCAATGGGGCGCTTACTTGGTCTCTGAAATGCCCTGGACTTTGGGGAGAAATTTTGCAGAATTCTGATGGTCAGAAAACACCCCATTAATTCATTTAGTCTGAGACCGACTGCGGTGAGCACTTTTTTTTTTAGACCGACTATTTTTTTGCCATGGGGTGAAAAACATTTTTTTCAAACATGATAAGTCGACAAGGTTATTTTATACTAAAGTTTTGCGTGAGAAGAGTGACGTGTGCAGTGAGCACTTATTTTAATACCGACTGCTCATATCTTACGACCGACTGCACTGATTTTGCGACCGACTAGTATTTGGGATCTATTCTGGCATTATTTGTTTACCTCATTAATTTTGAGACCGACTGCAGTGACTGCACTTATTTTGAGACCGACTATTTTTCTCCCTGGGGGAAATTTTGTTCTTAGACCTACATACTCACAACAGAATAAGAGTGAAACCCATCATTTTTTCAAACATGATAAGTTGACAAGGTTATTTTATACTAAAGTTTTGCGTGAGTAGCGTGACGTGTGCAGTGGGACTTATTTTGATACCAACTGCTCTTATTTTCCGACCGACTGCACTGATTTTGCGACCGACTATTTTATTTAAGGTCATGAGACGAAGAAGCCTATTGATTTTCAGTGATTTCCGATAATTACTGCCCGAGTTATGGCCCTTGATCACTTTGAAAAATCTTGTGGACGCTCTAGAGGCTAAAGTTATCATCTGATTGACTTCAGATTGATACACAGAGTTTAAGGTCTTGAGACGAACAAGTATATTGATTTTCAATGAATCTTTATGACTTGAACAGCTAAATCCATGATGTTAAAAGTTTTATATACTAAACATTAGCATGGGGCAGAACTTAATAAAAACCAAACAAATTCTAATGGTTTTCTGATAATTACTTAATGAGTTGTTACGCTTAATCAGATTTTAATGTATTATAAATGTTTCATTACCGAAAAAAGTAACAATATACGTCCACATTTCAATGTGGGCGTATAAAAATATGCGACAGCTGCTGTGGGCGTATGTTTCGTTGCCTGGCAACCCATCTTTTGTAAAGAAAAGACCGGTCATAATCTGTTAATCCACATATGGGTCATGTTTTCAAACAATTATGCCTGTGATTCTATGTCATTATAGTTGAAAAGCAGCTCCTCCGTCACTTCAATGTGGCTGGTTGCCGTAAAGAATAAATGAGGTCATCTGCACTTACGTAAATCATTCACGTTTACCATCAAGTTCGTGCAGCAGGCAGAATGGTTAATCGGTGGATTGATGCTGCCACCACCATCGCACCAGTGGAATATTATGTTACAATAGAAATAAAACATTAACCCAATTTTGGACATTCTGGACTTGCCCTCGGACCGACTCCGATGGATGGCTTTGTAATCAATAACTGCACCTTGGCTTTGGGGATCAGTTTCAGGGCGAAAATCCCCTCTACCATGACCTGCTAGGTTTCTCTTATGATGACCAGAGGCGAAGCCGTGAAATATATATTGGGGGGCGGGGGGGGGGGGGGTCTGCAAATGAAATTATATAAAATGTTGACAATCTGTGACGCCAGAGGCACGAGGCAGTCCCATAAAAAAATTTTTAAAGTTTCAGTCTTCTGTAAATACTGTTTTGGCATATTTTACGGGGTTAAACTAAAACATCACACCAATACAATGTTTATCATGTTTAAGTCAGGGGGTGCCGTATGCATATTGGGATATGTACAGGTTTTATACAGATAGAATCTTCACTAATCCTTATAATTGTTGTAAATAAATAGGAGTTAGGGCCTACTATCTAAATTTTTGGGGGGTTCAAGTATATTCAGACCCCCCCCCCCCCCCCCCCCCCGAAAAACAATTGGGGGGTCGCCCCCCCCCCCCCACCATGTGTGACGCTCATATGATGATGACATATCCAAAGGAATTTAGTTAATTTGGTGATATATGTCATCTTCTAAGCCAATTTATCTTGTCTGTGTTTACAAGATGCGAGGTAATTCAATTTTAAAATATTAAATTTTCTTTGTGAAAAAAAGGTAAATGTGGATAAAACAATATTGACAATAATATAGACTACACATTATACTAGCCACACAATTGGTGCCATAAAATTATAAGTAAATCCATCTCAGTATATGGCCTAAGTGCCATCTGAACTGGTGTATGTTCGTACATTGTAGTATTTAACATCTGAAATGTCCAGTAGTTTTGACTCCTGTAAAATGGGTCCCTAAAAATAATCTCTTTATTATTAATTAAATTTGCCCATTAATATAAATTGTTTGACTAACATATTGGCCCCATCAGCACTAAAGTGAGAAACCCCTATACAAACAAGATTTTCCAAATGTACAAGCATTATGTGATATATCATATAATTGTTACAACAAGCCAACCGTGAGACTGATGTCCACGGCCGAAATCCCAAAATAAATAGATGAAACATATTAAGCATTAACCAATGAAATTGCTTAGCTCTGCTTAGCTTTAGCTCGGAATGTTAATCATTGAACTCAGTCAAGACATTCACCTAATGAACATCTACATCAAGTTTAAACATTCTACCTCAATTAAAAGCAGAGTTGTTATGTTCCAAAGTCTTGACCAATCGAATTGCTTATCGCTCCTTAGCCTAAGCAGAAAAAATTCTCATCATCGAACTTAGTCAAGGTAATGATATAATGAATCTATATCTGGAGTTTCATCACTCTCACTTAATTATAACCAAAGATATCATGCCCCAATGCATCAACCAATCAGATTGCTTATCTCTGCTTACTGTAAGCAGGCAATGTTTATCATCGAACTCCATCAAGGCATTCACCTAATGAACGCCTACAACAAGTATTGACGTAATGAAACTATACACCAAATTTCATCACTCTAACTTAATTAGAACTAAAGTAATGGAGTCCCAAAGCATCAACCAATCAAATTGTTTATCTCTGTTTACTTACCCCAAGCAGAAAATGCTCAGTTTCGAACTTCCTCAAGGCATTGATCTAATAAACACCTACACCAAGTTTGAACATTCTAGCTCAATTAGAAGGAGAATGTTACAGACAGAAGGACAGACACATTTTAATATCTACATGCCTTAATTGGTTGAGACTATAGGGGCCTTTAAAACTTAAAGATACATTATATGTAAGATGCACTAGAGCTCCGGAACCCCTATACAAACAAGATTTTCCATATGTAAAAGCATGGAGTGATATTTCATATAAGTTCTACAATAAGTAAACAATATTTTATATAAATATATGTAAATGAAAAACTATATATACATGCCTTGGTTGAGCTGACAGTTCTCCCTATAATAGTGAAAACAACAGCATCGCTATCGCTGCAATATACATCCACATTCCTGCTTTAATTCATACCGTACTTTTTAAAATAAAGAGTATGAAATATGAAATGGCTGCAATGACTATGATATACTCTTCAAAAAAAAGGGGATATTGAAATGCAAATACCTATACCGGTTGTGATATGATAACTAGTCATGGACACTTGACATGCTTTGAGAGTATGTTTACAGATGAAGAACTTATCGCCCCAACAGAACCACTGAGCTGCGCATGCGACACGCAATAGCGCCATACACGTGGGAGGGGTTGATGAAAACTGCCGCGTGCTGGTTTATTTATCCATGTTTGCTTTCCCATCGGTTTGCATAAGATTTACTGTTTGGCGTATCTTTGCTATGGTGTGTTACGTTTAATTTGATCGGGAGACGTGTTTGTCGATGTCAACCGACAACCGACAACACTACAAGAGGAGTGGGTCAGATTGCCCCAAATCGTGACTGGACGGTTGATTAGGAGCATGCCACGACAAATTGCGAGTGAAATGGGGCCGTCAGATCAGTCGCCCTTATGAACTATTTATGTTCGTGTGTAGGCAATTGGCCTGTTATTAACATACACTGGTTACCTCTAATAAAAACAGCAGTGCATTTCCGCAGTTTTGTATTGTTTCTGAATATCCCCTACTTTTTTTGAAGAGTATATAACAAGAGGCAAGGAACTTGAAGGAAGGCTAGGCGTTTGGTTTGTTTTGCCAAATTTACAGACTAAATATTAACAAAAAAGTGGGTGTGACACCACCCTTAGGGGTTGGGACATGCCCCAAAATAGGTGATATATTCCAATGTTTTTTTAAATCGAAATAAAATTGTGACCTCCATAGGGTCCACAAGCTAAAAAAAACATGATTTTTTGTACAATCAGGGGCCATAATTCAGGAAGTTACGGTCCCATATGCGGGAATATCAAAAGGAACCAAGAACTTAGGGTTATAAACCTGCATTTCAAGTTTCATTAAAATCAGATAACCAGCGGCTGCCAGGCAGGATACGTCCAAATTTTGCAAGAGATGGATAGAGAACAAGCTAAACAAAAAGCGATTTTTGGTACAATCAGGGGCCATAATTCAGGAAGGTACAATCAGATATCGAAAGCAACCAAGATCTTTGGGTTATAAACATGCATTTCAAGTTTCATCAAAATCGGATCAAAATTGTGACCTCTAGAGGGTCCACAACCTTGATACACCTAGTGTTTACACCATTTTTGTCTGATTTTCACGAAATTCGAACTTAACCAACATTACGGTGTAACAGTGATATATTTGAACGTTTGTGTAAATCAGATAATAATTGTGACCTCTAGAGGGACCACAAGCTAAAAACAGGATTTTTCGTACAATCAAGGGCCATAATTCAGGAAGTTACGATCTGATATGCGCATATATTGACAGCAACCAAGATCTTTGGGTTATAAACATGCATTTCAAGTTTCATCAAAATCAAATCAAAATTGGGAGCTCTAGAGGATCCACAACCTAGATATACCAGATGTTTACACTATTTGTGTATGGGGGTGGGCATTTTGTCTGGCAGTTTTGGTCCGATTTTCAAGAAATTTGAACTCAACCAACAATACGGTGTAACGGTGATATATAAGAATGTTTTTTTAAATCAGATAATAATTGTGACCTCTAGAGGGACCACAAGCTAAAAACACGATTTTTCCTACGATCAGGGGCCATAATTCTGTAAGTTACGATTTGATATGCGCGAATATCGAAAGGAACCAAAATCTTTGGATATGCATTTCAAGTTTCATTAAAATTGGGTGAAAATTGTGACCTCTAGAGAGTCCACAACCCTGATATACCATATTTTTACACTATTAGCGTACGAGGGGCGGCCATTTTGTCTGGCAGTTTTGGTCCATTTTTAAAGAAATTCGAATTCAACCATCATTAGGGTGTAACAGTGATATAATCAAACGTTCTTTTAAATTGGATAAAAATTGTTAACTCTAGAGGGACCACAAGTATAAAAAGCAATTTTTCATACAATCAAGGGCCATAATTCAGGAAGTTACGATCCGATATGTGCGAATATCGAAAGGAACCAATACCTTTGTGATATAAACAAAAATTTAAGGTTGCATTAAAATCCGAAAAAAATTGTGGCCTCTAGAGGGTCTACAACCTTGATATACCACATAATACACCATTTGCGTTATACGAGGGGCGGCCATTTTGTCTGTCAGTTTTAGTCCGATTTTCACGAATTTCGAACTCAACCATCATTACGGTGTACCAGTTATATATTCACACGGTTTTTCAATTCAGATAATAATTGTGACCTCCATAATTCAGGGGCCATAATTCAGGAAGTTAAAGTTCGATATGCGCGAATATTGAAAGGAACCGAGATCTTTGGGTTATAAACTTACATTTAAAGTTTCATCAAAATCAGAAAAAAATTGTGACCTCTGTAGAGTCCACAACCTTGATAAATCATATTTTTACGCTATTTGAGTACGAGGGGCGGCCATTTTGTCTGTCAGTTTTGGTCCTATTTTTACGAAATACAAACTCAACCATCCATAGGGTTTAACGGTGATATATTCAAACGTTTTTTTAAATCGGATAAAAATTATGACCTCTATAGGGTCCACAAGCTAAAAATGCGATTTTTCGTACAATCAGAGGCCATAATTCAGGAAGTTACGATCAGACATGCGCGAATATCGAAAGGAACCGAGATGGGTTATAAACTAACATTTCAATTTTCAACAAAATTGGATAAAAATTGTGACCTCTATAAGGTCCACAAGCTAAAAACGTGATTTTTCGTACAATCAGGGGCCATAATCCATGAAGTTACGGTCCGATACATGCCAATATCGAAAGGAATCGAGATCTTAGGGAGATAACCCTATATTTCAAGTTTCGTTGAAATCGGATAAAAATTGTGACCTGTAGACTGTCCACAAACAATTGTGGACGGACGGACAACGGCGACGACAATATACGTCTACATGAAAATGTGGGCGTATAAAAAAGGCCTTAACTCTGGAAGTAATTTACAGGAAATTTTGAAATTTGACAGGCTTTTTCATTTAACTAATTTAAATAATGCAATTTCATAGATCGGATGATAACTTTTGTCATTCAAACGTTCCCAAGGTTCACAAAGTAAAACAAGGACCATAACTCTAGAAATAATTGACAAAAATTGCTGAAATTCAATAGACCTCTGTTTCACAATTTTAAATGATGCATATAAATTTCTTACATATCGGATGATAACTTTCATCAATCGAGCATTAACAAGGTTGAACAAAGTGAAACAAGGGCCATAACTCTAGAAGTAATTATTGTAAATGGCTAAAATTCAATAAGCTTTGTGGTTTCACTAATCTTAATGATGCATATAAATTTCATATAGATCAGATATAATGTTAACGTTTGGCGTTAGAGCTTTTACAAGGTTCAATAAAGTGAAACAAGGGCCATAACTCTAGACATAATAAACGGAAATTGCTGAAATTCAATAGGATTCTTCTTTTTACTAATTTAAATGACACATATAAATTTCATACAGATCAGCAGATAACTTTAGATGTTAGAGCATTCACAAGGAGCAACAAAGTGAAACAAGGGCCATAATTCTAGAAGTAATAAAAAGAAATTGCTGAAATTCAATTTGATTCTTCTTTTTACTATAAATTTAAATGACACATATAAATTTCATACAGATCAGCAGATAACTTAATGTTAGAGCCTTCACAAGGTGCAACAAAGTGAAACAAGGGCCATACATAACTTCAGAAGTAATTAAGGGAAATTGCTGAAATTCAATAGGCTTCTTCGCTTCACTAATTCAAATGATGAAGATAAATTTCACAAAGTTCGAATGAGAACTTTTGGCGTTAGAGCGTTCACAAGTTTCAATAAAGTGAAACAAGGGCCATAACACTAGACGTAATAAACGGAAATTGCTGAAATTCAATAGGCTTCTTTGTTTCTCTAATTTAAATAATGAATATAAATTTCACAAAGATCGAATGATAACTTTTGGCGTAAGAGCGTTCACAAGGTTTAATAAAGTGGAACAAGGGCTATAACTCTAGACATAATAAACGGAAATTGCTGAAATTCAATAGGCTTCTTTGTTTCACTAATTTAAATAATGCATATACATTTCACACAGATTGGATGATAACTTTTGGCGTTGAAGCAACAATGTGAAACAAGGGCCGTAACTCTAAGACGTAATAAACAGAAATTATTGAAATTAAATAGGCTTCTTCATCTCACTAATGTCAACAACATATACCAATTTTAAAACAATCGGATCATAAAAGAAATTGTGGACAACGGACGGAGGGTTTCTAACGCTATTTTGTTGCGTAAATATGATGAACAAATGTCAACACAACATGCATCCCACAAGTTAACAAAAAGAAATAAACTATATATATTTTAACTAACCAGATACAACCACTAACATTCAATATGGAGTGCTCACATAATATTCCTCCAAATATATATGTAACTCAACTGATTAGAAATTACATTATAATAAGAATTCAAACCAATGGCTGCAGTGCCAGGCAGGATACGCCCACATTTTGCAAGAGATGGATAGAGCACAAGCTAAAAACGCGATTTTTCATACAATCAGGGGCAATAATTCAGGAAGTTACGATCCAATATGCGTAAATAGAGGGACCACAAGATAAAAACAATATTTTTCGTACAATCAGGGGCAATAATTCAGAAAGTTATGATCCGATATGCGTAAATATCGAAAGGAACCAAGATCTTTGGGTTATAAACATGCATTTCAAGTTTCACTAAAATCAGATAAAAATTGTGACCTCTAGGGTGTCCACAATCAGGGGTCATAATCCAGGAAGTTATGGTCCGATATATGCCAATATCGAAAGGAAACAAGATCTTTGGGAGTCTGGGAGATAGACCTATATTTTATGTTTCGTCAAAATAGCTTGATAACGTTGAAAGAATACTCTACGAAACGTCGCCTTAAATACACTAGTAGCTGTTTTCCATAAGTATGTGTTTTGTTGTTACTCTCTCCAGTTACTAAATGCCATTTAAAGAACAAGAATAAAAATTGTGACCTGTAGAATATCCACAAACAAATTGTGGACGGACAGGGGCGACGACAATATACGCCCACATGAAAATATAGGCGTATAAAAATTGAATGTAATTGTATATCAGTATATATTTTATTACCATACATTTATATGTGCCTTTTGACCCATTTTCGCCTATTTTAATGTTAAAAAAAGTACAGCTATAGTATATGCCCTTTAATTTACAATGTCAACCACTATCTGGGCTGTTGCCTGGGAATCTCTTCACGAATTGTACATAAGGATTCCTTATGTCAAAAAGTATCTTTTTGCAACTAAATATATATTCTTCTTGGAAGTTGTAATATGTTTTCCAGTCAATTGTTACATGTACATGTATATATTTAGGACTAAACTGTTAAACTCATTACTTATATTCTATGGTTATTTTTATAATAAAGATTGATGGAAATAAAAGATAAAAGTTAAATTATATTTCAACTCTTTTTTGAATTGTAATATGATTGTGAAAAAATACAGATGTTATTTTAAACCTATAATAAAACACAAGAAAACACATTCTTTATCATAGTCTGAAGTGTTTGAGACATTCCCTTGCAGGTGACAGGGGAGAGTAGGAACAAAACTGCACTCTTTTTATCAATTTTTTTAATCTTTGGAGGCTCAAAGATTTTTTGAAAACAATGATTCCCCTGTAATCACCTTATTATTATACATCAAATTGAAAGCTTAATTATTCACCTTTCATAAGACAAAGACGTACATGTAGATGTACCACATAGTGCACCTTTCCTATGACTGGTATGTTGAAAGTTTAGTGCAAAACAATACCACCTACATGGACATATGTACAACTTGTAAAGGTAAATAATAAACCTGTTTTCTAACAATAAGGTGTCCCCGTGAGTGTGACAGAATCTGTGTGGATATAAAACCGCTTCGGACAAATACAATGTACATGTACATGTATGGTTTTATCATTGACTATTCTCTGCTTGTGAATATTCATCAAACAGGCTATTGAAAGAGCCGCACATTTTAGACTGTATTTATCATAGCTTATTTAGTTTTGTGTGCGTATTTATAGCTTTTTTTAACGTTAATAACTTTTTTTACACATTTAAATAAAACAAAAAGAAACCCTGCCAAAATCCATTCCATTTCCACATAAGTCTAGCAGTATGTAAGACAATCCACAAGTCTAGAAATATGGCACCTGTCACATGTCAAGCACGAATTCAGACTTTGTCAGGCATAATCTCTCGGGGTGTCTGTCATTTTAGCCAAAACAGAAAGTTCAAAATGTTAGGTACTAGTTCAGTAATGTGTGCCATTTTGTCAGTAATTGAAACCATGCCAAATTTACAAGTACTACATGTACAGTATGGGAATTTCAGTATAGAACATTTAAACACTGTGATATTTCAACAATATGCAATTTAAAAATTCAGAACTTCAATCCATGTCTTCCTTAACACAATGAATGAACAATTACGAGTTTATAATCCTTGTTTGATTATAAAGTCACATTTAAGTTTTAATCTTGAGTATCCATTGGGTAAATCAAGAACTGGTCAACATCGGTATTATCAGACATCAGAGAATTAGCTTCTTGTTGCCGTGACAACATTGCATCTCCCTTCTGTTGACCTGACAGCATTACATCACCCTGCTGTTGACCTGACAACATTACATCTCCTGTCTGTTGACCTGACAACATAACATCTTGCTGACCTGACAACATAGCATCTTGTTGTCCTGGCAACATACCAGCCACTGTATTGGATCCTGTTGGTTGGACAGCAAGATTTTGGGATTGTTGACCCTGCAGAGCTGTTTGACTTTGGAATTGTTGACCCTTTGATAATGCAAGTTGTTGAGTTATGGCCTGTAACTCATCCTGTTGCCGCTGTATGGCGAGTTGTAACATATCAGATTTCTCTAATAACTGTTCATGTAGGTTACGCTGTGCCGGGGAGAAAAAAGTTTCTGTTCTAGGACTGGGCCGAACAGCTGATGAGAAATGCTGACTTGACTGACTTTCATCAGCTATTCTTTTCTGAGCTGAGGGCATTAGATTTGAAGTGCTGTAACTCGTTGATGGTGCAGACATATTGTTAGATGCAGATGCCTGCCAGGAACGAGGCTGCGTAGGTTGAAATATTTGACGTTGTATTTGCAGTTGTTTGCCCGATTCTGCTTGTTGGCGCATGTAATGCTGTAACAAGTTACCCAGTTGATTGGAGACTAATTTATGTAGGGGAAAGGAATCATTGTTGTTAGTAGAGTGTGGCTGTTGGACCAAGTCAGTTTCCCCCGAAATGGCTGTTGATTGTTCCACATTTGGTACATCTACAGTTCCCAGATGTCCACTTGAAGTAACAGAACATGTTGGTGAACTAGAACTAATGTTGATCTGTTCATCGACTTGGTTACCTGCTACCCATGTGTTATCTTCATTATAACCTGAATCTGAACACAACTCTGATTTAACATCTGCATAACTGACAACTATGTTATTACAAACAATAAATTCTGGTTTGGAATTCCACTGATTGTAAGTGATATAGTAACTGCTTCTGATCCAAATCCACTGTTGACCTTTGGTGAGAAAACGATAACAACATGATGAGCCTTCCCCTGCTTTTAGCAACTGTTCGTGGCATTCCGTTATTTTTTCTAAATCATCTGAATGATAATATTCATAGCCTGATGTGCCCAGAACTTCAAAGGGAAGATAACCAATAATCGGAGAAGCTCTATGATCTAAATAAAGAAATTTCCATTCCATAGACAATCTGGAAGTAAATTCTCTTGTCGAGTCATCTGTAATGAGCACTTCCCGCAAGATCTGAGCTGTTTGAAGTTGAACAACACAGCAAAAAGTATTTATCTCTTGTGTCGAATAAAATGAAGGTTCTTCTCCACTTGTTGTTTCTACATCAGGACTTAATTTATGGGAACTGCCAGTAAAAGTAACATACTCATATAGAAATGGTGCTGTCGGGTCTAAGGATCCACGCTTCAGGTGACAGCTGAATGTAACTTGATTGCTTGGATTGTTAAAATAAGGAATTCCACCACCCACAGTTTGCACTTTATGTGATGTCAATAATGCATGTAATTGCACCCTTTCTCTTTCAAACAGAATGTTATACAATGACTGATTTAACAATTCTTGTGATGAATAACCAAGTAATGATGTCACACTTTCTGAGACATACAAAATTTTACCTTGTTGATCAAACACCATCACAAAGCTATCCAGAGCTTCCAACATCAACTGTGAGAATTCATCATTAGAGAGAAAAGATGGCTTCCAATCTTCGGTAATTTCGTGAGCTTGTGATTGAGCAGATATTTCTTGATGATTTTTCAGGAATGAAATGGTCTGTTTTAACACTGTTGATTTATCCACCTTTTTCTTTTTATTAGAAGATATCATAGCACTAAGTTCATTAATTAACAAATTAAACTGATCACGTCTTTTTTTCTCACTCTGATTTCTGGTTTTCCTTTTAGATGAGCTTCCTCGGACAGAATCCCCGTCAAAGTCATCATAACTGGCTAAACTCTCCGACCCCGACATGGCAGAAGAATCTAAAGCGTCTGAAGTTTCCCTGTCCCTATTTTCCGAAGGAGGATTAAGTAGTACTCTTCGCTTAGTTCCACTCATTTTAGAAAAACATATTTTTTTTTCACTTACTGGGAAACGTGACAATGGAATTAAATAGTCTATAGTTAGTAGTTAATCTGGATGTATTTCATGTCGTGATCGCTGATCGTGACAATGCGTTTAGGTTAGGTGGTCGCCATTGAATATAATGAGAGTATTTTTACTCTTTATTCTCAAGATATATGCATCCTGACACCTGTCTCTGGCTGACTACTCATCCTTTCCACAGAGACTCGAATTTTACTGGCACTGGCAGACTTGGCTTACGGTATTACCCTTGGTTAACACAGAAACGTTCCACTCGGCAGATTCCGGTACCCTATTAGATGCGTAGAATCTGTCGAGGTTTGCCGAATGAGAAACGTTCCTCACTAGTCTCGGTCACCCAGAACCTCCTAGTCTTAGTGTCTTCCGTACGTAACTAACGTACGAAAATTAATTGGTGGCTAGCTTTTTTTTTCGCACGTATACAGTGAATGGCCATTTTGCTCAGTAATCCCAGCCAGAATTTGGCTATTTTCTAAATTTGCGTTAAAGTTTAAAATATTTGTTTTAGAACTGAAACACATTAACTATTTAGTCAATCCCAACGCTAAAAACATCAACAGAATTGATTGTGTATGTCTGACATAGACCCGACCGACGCACAAAATAGTGCAATATGGCGGCCTCTATGAACAACCCTCGCAGACGCTGTCATTGAAGACAACGTCAATTCTATGAGTTGTAGATGTTATTTTTGTGAAAAAATCATTGGAAGAAGAGAGAACATGTTGGGACTGTACGAATTATATAGTCTATATGGGTGCAACGGACACAATGCTGAAGATAAACCTATTGTTTACAATGTTGGCCTCATGACCCATTGACGCCAATGTCATGACCTGTGATTGTCGATCACGTGATATGGATATCATGGCTACTGACTGTGTCTGAGATACTTCTCCGCAGGTAGCGTGTCTCAGATATTCAGAATGAGTGTCTTCAACAGACGGATAGTCTTGGTAACCCAGAACCTCATCGTCTTCAACATACGGAGGGGGTTGATGCTATATCGTATCTAGCGAAATACCAAAAAGGGGAGGAGCTACCAATAGCTAGCTGAGCAGAAATTCTAACGTATTTTGTAGGCGGGAATTAAAAAGCATACCACGTCTTGACATGATCGGCGAAATGGCGATAGTACTTGCCAAAAGACAAGTCGGACAAGATGCCCACTTAACATTGATGGTTAGATTTACGTAAAGTTTACGTCATTATGGTTAGATTTTGGTTAGCGTCCGATAATGGTAAAATTCTTTGGTTAAATTTACGTTACTTTTACGTCATAATGGTTATGGTTACTTTTACGTCAGAAAATGACGTAAATGTAACGTAAACTTTATGACGGATTACTAACCAATTTTTTTCCCTTTGAATACTTCTTGATTAAATAACATTACAAGTGTGTGCACATTCTAACAATTGATATATAGTCGGAATTCAGACATAATAATTATATATGTATTATTGGTTATAATTCTAACGTTAATCTAACGTAAATTTTACATCAGGTTTCTAACCGTTAGTTTATGGTTAGTTTTCTGACGTAAATCTAACGTTAGTTTTCTGACGTAAATCTAACGTTAGTTTTCTGACGTAAATCTAACGTTAGTTTTCTGACGTAAATCTAACGTTAGTTTTCTAACATAAACCTGATATTAGTTGTAAAACGTAAAACAAATGTCAGTTTAATGTCATGATACTAACAATTAAGGGCCTGACAAGACAGCTGTCTAGTCATTAAAATGGGACAAAAATGGGTAAGACCCTGGCTCGCTAGCCTGGAGGTCTGGTGTTCGATCCCTGCATTGGCCGAGAAAGTTCATCCAGATTTCCGGCGTTTTTTCCCCTTGTCAGTGATGCAGGACGAAGAGCCTGACAAGGACAGCTGTCTAGTTGTTCAGATGGGATAAAAAAAAAAACGAGGTCCCGTGTACACATTGGCATGCATGTAAAAGATCCCTTGACAGTTGGAATTCGATATAAGAGTAGGCCGTAGTGCCACTGTCGGGGCAAAATTCCCCTCATAACACACTGTATGGTGTATGGCCATCTTCATTAGCCCAGTTCGGAGCAGAACAGTTGGACGTTAAACCCCATTTCATTTCATTACATTTTATATCCATTTCTAAGTGGGGGATCACGTGGCTAAGTGGGTAAGACGCTAGCTCGCTAGCCTGGAGGTCGGGTGTTCGATCCCTGCATTGGCCGAGAAAGTTCATCCAGATTTTCCAGCGTGGTTCTCCCTTGTCAGTGATGCAGGACAGAGGGGCTGACAAGGAAAGCTGTCTAGTCGTTCGGATGGGACGAAAAACCGAGGTCCCGTGTACACATTGGCGTGCACGTAAAAGATCCCTTGGCAGTTGGAATTCGATATAAGAGTAGGCCTTAGTGCCGCTGTCCGGGCAAAATTTCCCTCATAGCACACTGTATGGCGTATGCCTGTCTTCATTAGCCCAGGTTAGGAGCAGAAAAGTAGGACGTTAAACTCCATTTCATTTCATTTCATTTCATTTCTAAGTGCCCAAGAATAGAGATCTAGCTCCTTTAATAGTTGCGAACTGTAGGTGACACACAAAGAGAAAACGAATGAATGAATGATCTACTCTCATTTCAAATTCCAAATGTCAAGGGTTCTTTTACGTGCACACCCACGTGATGGACTAGACACTGTTTTTTTGAGGTCCTCTGTCCTACACCACTACTAACAAAGGGAACTTTCTCGACCAACATGGGGATCACGTTGGCTAAGTGAGTAAGACGCTGACTCGCTAGCCTGGAGGTCGGGTGTTCGATCCCTGCATTGGCTGAGAAAGTTCATCCAGATTTTCCTGCGTGTTTTCCCCTTGTCAGTGATACAGGACGGAGGGCCGGACAAGAACAGCTGTCTAGTCAGGGATGAAAAACTGAGGTCACGTGTACACACAGGAGTGCACATGAAAGATCCCTTGGTAGTTGGAACTTGATATAAGAGTAGGCCATAGCGCAGCTGCCTGGGCAAAATTTCCTTCATAGAATACTGTATGGCGTATGCTCGTCTTCATTAGCTCAGTTTAGGAGCAGAACAGTAGGACATTAAACCCGATTTCATTTCATTTTTCTCGACCAACACGGAAATTGAACCCCTCATTTGCTAGCCAGTGTGTTACTAATTACTAGAGAGAGAGAGAGAAATGGGGTTTAACGTCTACTCGACACAAACTAGGTCATTTCGGGACTAACATATAGTTTAATTTTTATTTACATAATTCGCTTGCGCGTAGGGGTCTTTAGCAGTGGGAGAAAACCGGAGGTTGGACAAGCGACCCTACTCCTTGTCACGTACAACCGGGGATTCGAAACCACGACAGTCAACTCAATGATAGACTTTATGATACAGCGCCCGCACGCTAACCATTCAGCCATCCAACCCCCCCCCCCCCCCCCGTTACAAATTACTAAGTTTGTGAAATGTAGGTTTTTCCTCATGTAGATTTGTCCTGATGAAATCGGTTTATTGTCCTACTGTTCTGCTCCGACTGGGCTAATGAAGACAGGTACATACCATACAATGTGCAATGAGGGAAATTTTGCCCCAGCAGCGGCACTATGGCCTACTAATATCGAATCCAACTGCCAAGGAATCTTTTCGTGCAAGCCAATGTATACATGGTACCTCGGTTTTTTGTCCCATCTGAGTGACTAGACTACTGTCCTTGTTCCTGCACCTCTGACAAGGGGAAACCATGTCGGAAAATCCTGATGAACTTTCTCCACCAATGCAGGGATCGAACACGTGCTCTGGATTATCGAGCCAGCATCTTACACACTTAGCCACCGTGGCTTTATCAAAATTAGTAATGAAGATGTGCTATGACAGAAATTTTGCCTGGACAGCAGCATTACCGCACTTACTAATAAAGATGTGCTAGGAAAGACATTTTGCCTGGAGAGCAGCATTTCCGCATATAGTCATTACCAATAGGTGCACTAATCCGTGCATTCACTAGTCCACTAGTCTGACTCTATAAAATACTATAAATATGAGTATTAAAGAAACCCAGTAGATATGGTGACTGATATCACCCTTCGTAAGGCGATAACCCAACATCACGGCATTTTAACCCGAAATCACAACATTTTAACCATTATAGCATATGCCCTTCTTCATAAGAGCACTTGGAATAAAATAGTAGGATGTTCAAACCCCATTTAAAATTCATTTTCATACTTTTCTGCACCAGTCGGACTATTGAAGATAGTCATACGCAATGCAGAGTGCTATGACGGAAATTTTCTATGGACTGTGGCAGGGCGGAGGATCTGGCAAGGGATAAGGTATAGTTGTTCGGGTCATACGAAAAATCAAGTCCTCATGTACATATTGGCATGCACGTAAAAGACACTCCGACAGTTGTAATTCAATATCAGAGTAGGCCATATAGTGCCGCTATCCGTGCAAAGTTTCCGTCATAGTACACTGTATATAGTGTATGCCTGTCTTCATTAGCTCACTCAGAGCTTAAATCAATGTGTGTTGTTAATGTCATTTAAAATGGCGGCTGTCTACATATACAATAGGCGTTTTTGTGAACCGATTAGATTAGACCGATTAGCTATTATACGCATTTGTGAACCAAGTTGATTATGCTAATCGTTACATTTGTGAGACGATTTAACTCAACTGATTAGGCAAATCGACCTAATCGTCCCAGGAGGTGTTTAGGCGATTAGATTTGACGTTTTCAAAATGGCGGAATGTTCGACATCGTAAGTAATTTTTAATGCTTATTGTTGTTTTTCTCCATAAAAAATGTTTTTTTTAAAACGCATTTGATGTGTTTAAAGTAGCTAAGTCTCTAACTCAATATCATCCAAAATCTTCAACATTGAAAACACGATTTATTTGTCAAATTATATCAACATTCATGTTGTGATCTTAACGGGAAAAGATGGGCTTTTGATATCCAATATTTTAGACAAAATAAACATTTTACCATTGGTACACGAATCGTGTACCATAATGCGCTTCAGCCCTAGTTGTATCAAGAGACTCGAGGGACGAGGCTAGACACATTGCACCAAATCAAACGGCGTATGTAAACTGGAATAACCAGACGCTAGAAATTTGCACTCGCTTGAGACTGCTGGCTTATTTCGCCGAACATAACGGATTTGAAATTGGAGTAAAAACGGAAACCATTGAATGTAAATCAGTTTATATACATTCATACTACAGTATTATATGCATTGCGACCCACTTTTGTCAATTTCTAGGTCCCAAATGTTAGCGATTTAGCTCCTTTAATGTTAACTTTATAGTCCACAAGAATGTTAGATCACCTCTGGCTCTAAGCAATTTTAGGCCCTCTGGGTGCCAGCAGTGTCACTGTAATCTGTAGGTAACTTGGACTACACGTGAAACACACGCCCCCCTCGTCATGTTACCAGAGACAATTTTTTTTCTGATCGGTGTCCGTGGTGGCAGCCATCTTACCAAATCGTAATTATCAAATTTCACATTTGTGGACCATAGCTAATCAAATCGAAATCATACCAAATCGTACTAGCAAATCAAAACCTAATCTAATCGACTCACAAAAACGCCTAATATATAAAATAGGTCATGAGTCGATTGGTGCCGTTTTTTTATTTCGAATTTAAAAGTTCAACACTTAATTATACAAGTTGTAAAACCATATAAAAATAAAGGTTGGACCAAGACTAGTTCCATTTTTTTAAGTTATGAATCTGAAAAATAGATAATATAGAGCGAAGCTCTACAGCATCGCGCGAAGCGCGGTGCTTGAGCAAAGCTCTTTTCCGGTAACACAGGAGCGTAATTGAAAATGTTACCCACAGACTGTTGATTAAGAAAAAATTCAGACCGAAACCGGATACACTGGAGAAAACAGGCAATGCGCATGTCAACTTACCAAATCTCGTCCAAGCAAGATTACGCGCCTCATAGAACTATTTCTATGATGCGTCTAATCAATGACGTCACATATTTTTTACGTCAATGAAAATAATTCTCACACTTTTTTGTTCTTTTTTTTAAAAACAAAATTAATGTATAAAATTTAGATCTAAATAAAAATCAATTTTGAAAAACTAAATTATTTAACATTTTTTGTATCACTTGAGAAAATTAATTATGAAGGTTTTATATTTGACAATAATCAGCTTCGCTCTACTCAGGCAATGCCTGTTACATATTAATGACCCAGTCAATTAACATAGAGATCTACTCTAGCTAAAAAAGTCCATATATTTATCGTCTCTCGATAAAAGACCTATCTCTGAAAATTAAAATTCCCCGATTTGATTATTCTTTTAATATAACATAATTATGTAACCTCATATAAAATATGGTAGAGCGTATACAAACAAATTATATGAATAGATTCATTATCAGAAATATTACAGGCCTTTCAAACGAACAGCCGCCATTTTTAGAACTACATAGATGTAAAAATATATTTTTATCGACTCGGGCAAGGTCAAGGTCACGATCTGTTCACGGTTGATGATTGTGTTTAAATCGGTTTATATCATATTATTTCTATTCACATTACAATATTTTTTTTATAGGTTACGGTTATTGTTGTTATTTATCTAAATTGCTTCAATTATTTATTAAATATTTTTTGTTTGTTCGTTTGACCGGAACGTACGGAATTCTGGGATTTAAAATGGCGGCATAATGTAATTATTATTTTTCCCAAAGAAGAAATGATGCCGTGATTTAAAGTTAAATAAAGCTATTCCACACATACACACACGATTTTGGATTCAGCAAAGTAAAGTTGAAGGTAAGTGCACTTTTTATGCGAACTTCCGTTGACAGTATACCGATAGATCTAATGTTGATAAAAAAAATAATCTGGCCGTGGAAAAAGTTTGCACGCAACTTTGTATATCAGACAGTCAGTATTTGTTTTTAACACGATGCAGTTACATTGTCCGTAAACCATACTATTCATAAACAAAATCAACATTGCTTTAAGTTATCGAAAGTAATACTGGTTCCAAAATTGTTTTTAAAAAATCTGGATCCAAAAATTATCAAACACATAACGAATTTATTAATGATGTAGACTGTTAAAATTCAGGCTGTGCTAATTATAATATAAGTACATGTAGTATTTTCTAAACATTTTTATGGGTGTTTCAGGTTGGGTTTTTTTGTTGTTATTGTACTGATATTTTTGCAAATTTAATAATGCATAATGCAAGAGCTAAATCTATATATTGTACGTAGGTTAAGTAGGTATTTCTTGAGACTGTAAATGTTAAAATTTTTTATAAGACATTTTAATGTATTAACTTGCTAAGTCTATAATCAAGTCTCAATGCCATCGGGTACTCGAGATGTTCACAGATTTAAACACTGGTGGTTAATGTTAATGATTTAATTTAATTGAAAAATGGATAATCAAGACTCTAATTATATACATAGGCCTATAACATTAAATAACAAGTTTGCCCGTACATACTTGTACATAAAGGTTTCAGTCCTACTCCCCTGCTTATTTTTTCTTGTGGTGGCCAAGAAAGTTCATCAGGATTTTCTGGCATGGTTCCTCTTTTAACTGGTGCAAGACAGAGGGGCTGGTAAGGGCTAATGTACAGTTGTTCGGATAGGACAAAAAACCAAGCTCTTTTGTACACACGGTCCAGTCAAAATTTCCATCACAGCACACTTTCAAGCATTTGTCCAACTTCTTTAGCCCAGTTTGAGCAGAACAGTATGATGTTGAACCCCATTTCATTACAGATCCACAGTAGGTTGGCTGTCAGCCCAGTTGGAGCTGAACAGTAGGCCGTTTAACCCAATTACGTTTTTTTTTGGGGAGTATAAAGTTGCTTTTTATTTATTTATTTTTTTTTTTTACAGATCCTACATGTATATTTGAGCACCCTTGGTGGCAGTAATGACAAAGAAGTTCTAAAAAGATTTATATGGGCTTTATAATGATAGTTAGACAACACTACTACTTGCCAAACACTACTACTTGTCACATAACGTAATGATATAAATATATATGTATCTATGGTAGCACAAATATCATCAGAATGTAGGCCAAAGCTTTACAAGCATTGTAGGCCTAAAATACTTTCTGTCTGAACTTTTGACAGTCAATTCTTTGATGACTAGTTAGTTTAGAGCAGATATCCTGTCACAGTATTATATAACAGCTCTTTGGCTTAAAGTTTAAACTGAGTTGTATCAGTGAGTTGAAAATCATCTGTGTTCCTGTTATTGCTCCCTGCTGCAGCCAGTAAACAATAACCATTTGCGTTCCTTACAAATCTTCCAATTTTTACTGATAGATCAACCATAGCAAAGATCTCTATTAAGATTATATTTGTAATGTTTGTAACAAATTCTATGACATAGGTATAATATTGGTGTAGTTAAGTATATACCATATTTATGCACACATTTCAATGTTGGCATATTATTAGTCTCTATCATCTAGAAAAAAATATTCTATATTCTACGAATATTAGTGTGGTTGCGTTGTCAACATTTGAGAATAATCGGTCATAGGCTAGATTATCCGGTCTTTTACATTATCATAAACAAAGTCTAAGGAAGGTAACTAGTCCTAAAACAAGATGTTGACGCCCATGAAATTTATATAAGAATGCCATTTCCGAAAGTCCATTTGATTGCATTGTCAGTTCAATATCCAACACTCTTAATTTTTTTTTATTGTAAAATTTCTCTCTTCATGGGCCATATCTATGTTGTTTTTTTTTATTGAATCCTAATTCGTCATCACGATTCATGTTTGTTTATAAATGCAAGTGTTATTGACAACTGTCCCAGACCCTCATTATTTATATGGCCCAACTTTTCTTCGGCGTACACCGGCACGGTATTAGACTAGGATAACAGTCTCGAAACTCGTGGAGTTGAAAAACATTAGTCTTATATACCGCCTCTACTTAATTATGGATGTAGGTCGGAAAAATGTAAAATTTGGCAATTTGACTTATACTCAACATCGACTTATACCCTGTATGGTAATGTGATGATGCCCCCTCTTCCAGACAAGACATAGGCTATAACTGTTTCAAATGACAAGTGCTAAATGAAGTATTTATGTGGTCTTTGGTGAAAGAAATGAAATGAAATGAAATGGGGTTTAACGTCCTACTATTCTGCTCCTAACCTGGGCCAATGAAGACGAGCATATGCCATACAGTGTGCTATGAGGGAAATTTTGCCTGGGCAGCGGGGCTACGGCCTACTCTTATATCGAATTCCAACTGCCAAGGGATCTTTTACGTGCACGCCAATGTCTACACGGGACCTCAGTTTTTCGTCCCATAACGACTAGACAGCTGTCCTTGTCAGTCCCTCCGTCCTGCATCACTGACAAGGGAAACCACGCCGGAAAATCAGGATGAACTTACAGGGATCGAACACCCGATCTCCAGGCTAGCGAGCCAGCGTCTTACCCACTTAGCCACTTGATCCCCCCCTTTGGTGAAAGAGAGAGAGAGAGAAATGGGGTTTACCGTCCACTCGACACAAACTAGGTCATTTCGGGACTAACATATGGTTTAATTTTTTATTTACATAATTCGCTTGCGCGTAGGGGTCTTTAGGAGTGGGAGGAAACCGGAGGACCCGGAGAAAACCCATGAAGTTGGACAGGCGACCCTACTCCTTGCCACGTACAACTGGGGATTCGAAACCACGCCAGTCGACTCAATGACAGACTTTATGATACAGTGCGCGCACGCTAACCATTCAGCCATCCACCCCCCCCCCCCTTTGGTGAAAGAAAACAGAGCTGTGGCTAGTGAAATGAAAGTTTAACGTCCTACTGTTTTGCTCTGAACTGGGCTAATGAAGATGGGCATACGCCATACAGTGTGCTATGTGGGAAATTTTGCCCGGACAGTGGCACTACGGCCTTCTCTTATATCGAATTCTAACTTCAAGGGCTCTTGTACGTGCACGCCAATGTGTACATGGGACCTCATTTTTTTGTCCTATTTTAATGACTAGACAGCTGTCTTGTCTAGCCCTCTGTCCTGCATCACTGACAAGGGAGAACCATGCCGGAAAATCTGGAATAACTTTCTCGGCCAATGCAGGGATCGAACACCCGACCTCCAGACTAGATAGCCAGTGTCTTACCGACTTAACCAACGTGATCCCCGTTGTGGCTACAATTCCTGGATTTGAAGGTCAGGTATGATATGAAATGAATATTTTGAACCGGTTCACCAATGCAACCAATCCGTGACGGGTTAACTGATAGAGGGTTACATCCTTGATATAAATATACTTGTCGCGGGTTTTAAAAATAGAAATATATATATAAAGGTAGCTCAAAATTCATCTCTACATGTACATAGGCCAAGGGGGGATCATGTGGCTAAGTGGGTAAGACGCTGACTCGCTAGCCTTGAGGTCGGGTGTTCGATCCCTGCATTGGCCGAGAAAGTTCATCCTGATTTTCCAGTGTGGTTTCCCATTGTCAGTGATGCAGGATGGAGGGCCTGACAAGGACAGCTGTCTAGTCGTTTGGATGGGACAAAAAAAAAACCAAGGTCCAGTGTACACATTGGCATGCACATAAAAGATCCCCTGGCAGTTGGAATTCGATACAAGAGTAGGCCATAGCGTTGCTGCCTGGGCAAAATTTCCCTTATAGCACACTGTATGGCGTAACCTTTTGCGTCTCTTCAAAATATTTCAAATCTTTTGTCATGGATCAACCATTGCAAATATCCGTGTTACAATTATATTTGAAATGTGTTAAACCAATTCTGCAACACATGTAATATTTGTGTAGTATATATCTTTGTTTATACACCCACATATCAATTTTGGCCCTGTTTGTCCGTACACTGGGTGTGAAATGTGAATCATTCCGATTGTGAGAGGACAAGCATTATCAATATACAGCTTTTCAGGACTTTGCTTTCCTTGGTTAATTCTCCCTTTTTCAAATGCAATAGATGCTGTGTTTATTCTTAATTGATCTTTTTCAAATTTGTGTTACACACTGGAATCATGAGAGGCCGAAACCTATCAATATTCAGCATTCCACAACATTCCATTCCAGTGTCGGCCGAGAAAGTTCTTCGTGATTTCCAGACTTGGTTTCCTCCCCTTGTCAGAGGTGCAGGACAGAGGGCCTGACAAGGAGGGACAGCTGTCTAGTCGTTTGGATGGTACGAATGACCGAGGTCCTGTGCACACATTGGTGTGCACGTGAAAGATCCCTTGGCAGTTTGAATTCGATATAAGAGTAGGCTTTAGCGCCGCTGTCTGGATAAAATTCCATAATAGGACACTGTATAGCATATTTCCATGTCATTAGCCCTGTCGGAATAGGACATTAAACCCCATTTCATTTCACTCATTCCAAAGTTAACTCCTATTCCATCAATACCTTGAGCAAATAAGATAGAGGCTATAGGTTTTGGCCCAATTTGGTCAATATCCCAGTTTTTTCTTTCTTATATGCATATCAGCACTTTCATAGCGCTAATGTAGACCTTTTTCTTGAACATTTTCCCTTGTCAGTGATGCCGGACAGAGGACCTGACATGGATGGCTGACTAGTCATACGGAAGGGACCAAAAAAACAAGGTACAGTGTAAACTCAAGTGTGTGTGTGTGAAAGATCCCTTGGCAGTTGGAATTTTATGTAAGAGTACGCCATAGCTCTGCACACTGTGTGGCATATGCCCGTCTTCATTTCTCAAACAGCTGTGGATAAAAACTGTTAATATTTAAATGTGTATTTTGTATTTTATAACATTATATTTTTGTCTTTTAAATAAAGTATATGTATACATACTTGTAGTATATTTTGTCATATTATTCTGCTAGATTTTTAACTTTTCTGTGCAATACATTTAGAATTCTGACTGGTTATGGGTAGATAGAGAGCAATGGGGTAAAACATCCAATAGACATAAACTGTCCTTTGGGACTAAGTGATTCAATTCAAGTTGAATAATTCATCCGCACCAGGAATCTTTAGTAGTAGGAGGACCCAGAGAAAACCCATGTTCAAGTTGGGTGTGGAAACAAACCACTTGACTCAATGACAGACCTTATGATCTAAAGCGCACACGTTGGACCACTCAACTTTTAGCCTCACCCACGGGTCAGGAAAATTTGATTATTGATTGAATGTACTTCCCATTTACTGCCGCAAATAATGAATAATTTTGAAGGTTTTAATGGTTTGTTATATTTTCGTAACTTTGGTCATCAAAATTTGACATTAGAATTGCATCCGTAAATGATGTTAATTTAATGTTAGATTTACGTTATAATGGTCGGTTAGATATCCATCATTTTGCTCATCCTTTTAACGACAATTTAACGTCAGGAAATGACGTTAATCTAGCGTAAAGTTTACGTCATTTTTACGTTATATTTACATCATTTTCTGACGTAAATCTAACGTAAAGTTTACGTCATTTTCTGACGTAAATCTAACGAAAATGACGTAAACTTTACGCAAATTTTACGTTAGATTTACGTCAGAAAATGACGTAAAGTTTACGTTAGATTTACGTCAGAAAATGACGTAAATATAACGTAAAAATGACGTAAAGTTTACGTTAGATTAACGTCATTTCCTGACGTAAAATTATCGTTAAAAAGATGAGCAAAATGATGGTAAACTGACTGACCATTTTTACGTAAATGTAACGTAAAATTAACATCATATTGTTATGTGGGTGTTTAATTCGATTAGGAAGCTGAGAAATATATTAAAGCGACAAAAGTACACGCGACGACACAAATAATATATCACGAAAGATCAGGAATTTCTATGCATCAGGTAGGAATTAGCGTCTTTTGATATTGATGAGTAGGCCTATAATTTATATTTTGCCAAATTACGCATTGGTTATTGGATGAGAAAGTTCATCAGAATTTTGCGACGTGGTTTCCCTTTGTCAGTGGTGGTGGACGGATCGAGGGCCTGAAAAGGCCAACTGTCTAGTCTTTCGGAAGGGACGAAAAACCCAGGTCCCGTCTATACATTAGCGTGCACGTTAAGGATCCCTTGGCAGTTGGAATAGCCTAAGTGTATTGTATAGGCCATAGTGCCGCTGCCCAGGCAAAATGTCCCTCATTGCACACTGTAGGATGCCCATCTTCATTAGCCCAGTGGGGGGTTGGATGGCTGAATGGTTAGCGTGCGCGCGCTGTATCATAAAGTCTGTCATTGAGTCGACTGGCGTGGTTTCGAATCCCCGGTTGTACGTGACAAGGAGAAGGGTCGCCTGTCCAACCTCGTGGGGTTTCTCCGGGTCCTCCGGTTTCCTCCCACTGCTAAAGACCCCTATAATGCGCAAGCGAATTATTGAAATAAAATTAAACCATATGCTGGTCCCAAGGTGACCTAGTTTGTGTCCAGTGGACGTTAAACCCCATTTCTCTCTCTCTCATTAGCCCAGTCTCAGAAGAACAGTAGGACGTTAAACCCCATTTCATTTCATTTTGCCAAATTACATTTTTCATTTGTCAAAATGTGATTTCCATTTAGTTGCAACTACCAAACTTGTTGTCCAGTCCGTAATGTAAATCTGTTGGCTTTTCGGGCAGAAATCATGGAACAAACTTTATTTTGGAGGTTTCGACATCTAGGCCTGGTAACAAATGTTGACATTTTTTTCTGAGTAGGTCTTCATAAGTAATATGCCATGGTATGGTATGCCATTACTTGAAGGGTGGCCATAAGGCGTTAAAGTTAAGTCAACTTATTTTTATTTTCACCTAATTTGTAACGTTATCAAGATATCAACTGTGATTTGGCTCTGTATTATTATCGACTGGGGTCATGGCTGATGGGTCTATAGGGACCAGGGAGTTGATAATGCCATGCATGGGCTTGGCAAGTGAATAAAAGTAACGATCTGCATTAAGCTAAATTACGTTTAGTCTAGTAAGTAACATAATGCATCTTTATAAATAAAGCTTCATTTATTTACATTTTAATTTTGTTCTATTTTGATTTTTTCTTCAGGATGATGCTCTGATAGTCTATCGAAAAGTTTAATGCCAAAGTAAAAATTGGTATGTAAATGGTTTTATCCTTTGACAAAGTGCCCATTGTTTGTTCCCGGTGTTAACCAAGAAAATTCATCTCGATTTTCCGGCGTGGTTCCCCTTGTCAGTGAGTGGTGCAGAACATAGGGCCTGGCAAGGACAGCTGCCTAGTCGTTCGGATAGAAAGAATAACCGAGGTCCCGGGTACACATTGGCCAGTTGGAATTGGATACAAGAGTAGGCCTTAGCGCCGCTGTGTGGGCAAAATTTCATTAGCCCAGTCAGAGCAGTACAGTAGGAAGTTAAACCTCTTTTCATTTCCATAATATGGGGAGCCCAAAGTCTCAGTAAAGTGTTGGTTCGAAGACATGGACATCATGTGTTTGATTCCTGCATTAGCTGAGAAAGTTCATGTGGAATTTCCGTGGTGTAGGACGGAGGGCATGGTAGTATAGACATATCGTTCGGATAGCAGAAAAAAACAGGTCCTTGTACAAATTGGCATGCACATTTAACCAGCGGCTGCCAGGCAGGATACGTCCACATTTTCGAGAGATGGATAGACAACAAGCTAAAAAGAAAGTGATTTTTCCTACAATCAAGGGCCATAATTCAGGAAATTACAATTCGATATGCGCAAATATCGAAAGGAACCAAGATCTTTGTGTTATAGACTTACATTTCAAGTTTCAACAAAATCGGATAAAAATTGTGACCTCCATAGGATCCACAACCTTGATATACCATATTTTTACGCTATTTGAGAACGAAGGGCGGCCATTTTGTCTGTCAGTTTTGGGCCGATTTTCACGAAATTCGAACTCAGCCGTTCATATGGTGTAACGGTGATATAATAATACGGTTTTTTTTTAAATCGGATAAAAATTATGACCTATAGGGTCCACAAGCTAAAAACGCGATTTTTCGTACAATCAGGGGTCATAATTCAGGAAGCTACGGTCCGATATGCCCGAATATCGAAAGGAACCGAGATCTTTGGGTTATAAACTTACATTTCAAGTTTCAACAAAATCGGAAAGAAATTGTGACCTCTATAGGGTCCACAACCTTGATATACCATATTTTTACGCTATTTGAGAACGAACGGCGGCCATTTTATCTGTCAATTTTAGGCCGATTTTCCCGAAATTCGAACTCAGCCGTCCTTGGGGTGTAACGGTGATATAATAATACGTTTTTTAAAATCGGGTAAAAATTATGACTTCTATAGGGTCCACAAGCTAAAAACGCGATTTTTCGTACAATCAGGGGCCATAATTCAGGAAGCTACGGTCCGATATGCGCGAATATCGAAAGGATCCGAGATCTTTGGGTTATAAACTTACATTTCAAGTTTCAACAAAATCGGATAAAAATTGTGACCTCTATAGGGTCCACAAGCTAAAAACATGATTTTTCGTACAAACAGGGGCCATAATCCATGAAGTTTCGATCTGATACATGCCAATATCGAAAGCAGCTGAGATCTTTTGGAGATAAACCTATATTTCAAGTTTCGTCAAAATCGGATAAGAATTGTGACCTGTAGAGTGTCCACAAACAATTGTGGACGGACGTCCGAACGGACAGGGGCGACGACAATATACGTCCACATGAAAATACCTCAGAAAGCACATTCTGAAGTATACAGATCGCAAAAAGGTAAAATGAAAACTCCAAAACAAACAGCTGTGGTGTATGCTGTAATGGATAATCTAACAAAAATTCTGCTCTGATGAATAATCTAACCACAATTCCTGATATGATGGATAATCTAAAGAAAAACATTGCTGTTTGGAGCAATCTATAGAAAATCCTGCTGTGAGAACGAAGATGAAAACAAATTCTGCTGTCATAGCTATTGTGACGAAAAATTCTGCTGTGATGAAAATATTCTGCTGTGATGTATAATCTATCGGAAATTCCTGCTCTGTTGAATAATCTAATCACAATTCCTCCTGTTGGGACCAATCATAGAAAATTCTGCTATGATGGCTATTTTGACCAAAAATTCTGCTGTGATGGCTATTCTGCCGAACAATTCTGCTGTAATGGATAATCTATAGAAAATCCTGCTGTGAGAACCAAGCAGAAAACAAATTCTGCTGTCATGGCTATTGTGACGAAAAATTCTGTTGTGATGGCTATTGTGACGAAAATATTCTGCTGTGGTGGATAATCTAATGAAAATTCCTGCTCTGCTGAATAATCTAACCACAATTCCTGCTTTTGGGACCAATCGATAGAAAATTCTAACGTGAGGACCAGTCTGAAAAAAAATTCTGCTGTGGTAGCTATTTTGATGAAAACTTCTGCTTTAAACGATAGCCTATCAAAAATTCCTGCTCTTATGAATAATCTAAAGAATAGATGAATTATCTAACCACAATTCCTCCTGTTGGGACCAATCGATAGAAAACTCTGCTGTGATGGCAATTTTGACCAAAGATTCTGTTGTGATGGCTAATTTGCTGAATAATTATGCTGTGATGGATAGTCTAACGAAATTCCTGATTTAATTGATATTCTAAAGAAAAATCCTGCTGTTTAAATCAATCTATAGAATATCCTCCTGTGAGAACCAAGCTGAAAAAAATTCTGCTGTCATGGCTATTGTGACGAAAAATTCTGCTGTCAAGTCTATTGTGATGAAAATATTCTGCTGTGATGGATAATGTAGCGAAAATTCATGCTCTGCTCAATAATCTAACCACAATTCCTGCTTTTGGTACCAATCTATAGAAAATTCTACTGAGAGGACCAGTCTGAAAAGATTTTCTGCTGTG